TATAGAGTATCTAGAGTCTGTTTGCATTTATTTATTACTTCTATAGTTTCACATAGCTGAAGCCCAGGAAAGCACTAAGAACTTAGAATGAACCAGAGAGACCAGAGTTACTAAGCACACTGTCAAATGTAGCTAAATGTTATTTATCACATGACACGTCAAACTGTCATTGTTTCAAAATAATAGTGCTTCAATAATAAATAGCATCTGTATGACATCTATATTAATAATACATTATCGTAGGAAATGATATCACCGCTTAATCCTTTTGTCACTGCTTAACCTCTTGCATTGAAACTTCCTGTCATGTTCCATTCGTGGCAAGTATAAACCCGCTCGCCTGCTTGGCCGTCCCATACAGAAGTGGAATAGATTTAGTGTCATTTTTTACCCCTATGAGTCCATAGGTGGAAACCAGGTCAGTGTAAGCGGTACAGGAATGAGAGGGGGGCAATGCAATTCAGCCCTGACATTATTCTAATTATAGGCATATAGTTTGGGTCTTTTCAGTATAGTCAAGACAGGATACTGTTTCTCTCAAGCACTGCAATGATTCAGTAGGATTTGTTCTTTTCATTTTCAGAGAAAAAAGCAGTTTCTGGTTATCTTACATTTATGTTAATGAACTAAAGTGGTCATATAGTTAGAAAATGTACTCTTTCTCATAAAACAAGCCACCTGTACCTATTGTGCTTACAGGCTGTGGCGTACAGACACACATTTTGTTGTGTTTTGGACAGAAGGATTAGAATCCTTGCTATTTTTTCAGAGCTTTCAGCTGTTACTCCCAAGGCTTCATTCAGTGAACAAAGCTTGTTTAGTTATTGGTGTTACCATCTCTTAAAAATAATGTGGTCAAGTCTCTTTAATTAGACTGTGTGATCATAGATGACCCATCTTTATCATAACGATGTTTTTTGTGTGTCAGACAAATATCTTTTGCCAGAGAGCTCAGGAAATTAGCTTTCTGGGTTTTCTTATTTTTTAGTTTTTTGTTTTTTGCTTCGGTTGTACCATTGTAGGTTGCTTTTGCAAGTCTCAAGTCTCGTAAGAACACGTCTAAAGGGACTATTGAGGAATGTGTTCCCATGTTTCCAATACGTTTTCATTTCTCTCAAATTTCCCTCCTTTCCCTACAGGTGGAGATGCTAGAGCGCAAATATGGTGGGCGTTTCATAACCCGGCATGCTGCCCGCACCATACAGACAGCTTTCCGCCAATACCAGATGAACAAAAACTTTGAGCGTCTTAGAAGCTCTATGTCTGAAAACCGTATGTCCAGACGGATCGTCCTATCCAATATGAGAATGCAGTTTTCCTTTGAAGGACCTGAAAAAGTCCATAGCTCCTACTTCGAGGGAAAGCAGGTCTCTCTAACAGATGATGGCACTAAAATTGGCGCACTGAGGCAGTCAGACCATGGCGGGGAGATGGGTGTGCAGGCCAAGACCCCCACCACACAGAGCGACTTCACAGATGCCATCACAGAACTAGAAGATGCCTTTTCAAGGCAGGTGAAATCTCTAGCCGAGTCCATAGATGATGCTCTGAACTGCCGCAGCCTACATGGTGAAGACAGTCAGTCAGAGCCAGGGAGAGGCCTCCAGGATATGGACAGAGAGGTCACCTGTCAGGTGAAACCCTCCCACAGCGCCTCAGAACACCGTAAACTCGATGAGATGACGGCGTCTTACAGCGATGTCACCCTGTACATCGACGAAGAGGAGTTATCACCACCCCTGCCTCTTTCTCAGTCTGTAGACCGGCCCTCAAGCACAGAATCAGACTTGCGCCA